AACTATCTGGCATTTAATGGTTCGCTTTTGTAGATCCACTGGGACTGAAGTCCCTCGAGCATAGATTAGCAAAAACAATTGAATAAATGACATCTATAACATGCTGGGGCAGTGGCGAATCCAGGGGGGAGGGGGAGGGGAGGGCTGCCGGGCCCCTGAGAAAAAAAAAACGTGTAAAAACACGTTAATTTTACCTTTTTGGGGAGTTGGTCCCCCTCACCCCCCCACCCCCCCCCCCCCCCCCCCCGCCCACTCAGCGCATTTTCGGCCGGCGCGATTTTCAAATTTTCGGGAGCATCAAGACAAAAAATTGGACCCCCACCCCTAAGAAATCCTAGATCCGCGCCTGTGCTGGGGGATGAGGAGATTCGTAGTCTGAGATCAAAGACTCAGTTTTATTGTTTGCTCCATTGCCGTTTTATGGGTAGAATATAGATAGCTCTTTGTCAACTGTGAAATATTTTCATGCTCGCTTACATAGCTGACCCTCAATATCTCGAAATGTTCATCTACCTGGTAAAAGCTTTAATGATTTTCATGACTGCTAACTCGCTAACCTGTAGCAGGTTTCTTCAATGTGTATGTTGTGTGTCAATATCAGGCGCGTACGCAGGGGGCTGGGGGGGGGGGGGGGGGGGGGGGTATTAATCCCCCTTTTTTAGGTGTGTGTTTTGGAGGAACCCCCCTTTTTGTGTGTGTGCTAAAGGGTGACAACTAAAAAGTGACCCCCCCCCCCCCCTACTGAACGAAAAATCGGTTGGCATAATTTTCCAGTTTCGGGGACACCCCCCCCCCCCCAAAAAAAAAAATAAAATAAAAATAAAATAAAAAAATAAATAAATAAATAATAATAATAAATAAATAAATAAATAAATTTAAAAAAAAATAATGATGAATAAAAAAAATAAATAAATATGTGCTCTAGGTCAGTGAGGAACGGACTGAGAAGGAAGAGCAAGATGGTGAAGAAGAAGCAGAAGAAGAAGAAAAAGAAGAAGAAGAAGAAGAAGAAGAAGAAGAAGAAGAAGAAGAAGAAGAAGAATGAGGGGTGCACGAACAGGGGAATCAGACGAACTACATGAGGGAGGGAAGGAGCTAACATGGTCAAAGAACAATTAATAAAAAAGTACAAGAAGGGAGAAGGAAAGGCAAAAAGGGAAAGCTTATATTAATAACCTGACGAAAAGGGAAAATGAGTGAAAAGAAGAAGACGGAAAAAGGACCGAATCAGATATATGAATAATGATCAATAACTATGCTAGCTTAGAAAGTACGATATTATATTTTACATAATATATGTACACATTTGTAAGTTTGAGTGTGACAACTGAATCCATTCAGTTGAATGGTTGTTTCAATACATGTCGGTTAGTCTTAGGACAAGCGTTTGATTTGCAGGAGTTATTGTTGGTGGGAGATACAAAGCCTTTTATTAAATCTGTACATCAATGCTCTATATTGTTCTTCGAACAGGAATTTCGTAGCTCTACGACCGCCCTTTTCCTTCTGAGAGTTTGCACTCGATTGTACTCAACTACAAAACCAGGATAGCGCCATCTTCAGCTCAGGATAGGGAAGTAGAGGTCGCAAAGTTAGTAGATACTCATACAATAAAATCTAAAATCAGTCAAGTTCTGGAATCCTACCACTACTACTTCCACAGCCACTACTTACACGACGAAAACCACGACCATCACCACCAATATCACCACCGTTGTCACCACCACCACCACCACCACAACAATCACCACCACACCGACAACAGTCACCACCATTACATATTTTCTCTTATTTTCTCTTTTTTTCTCTTTTTTAAAACCTGCTTTCTTTCATCTCACTAGCATAGCCTATAATTCTTTCTAAGACAATATACCATTTGTTGGTCCAATTCCAGAACTAAAGAAATTGATTTTTCTTCTGATCTATAACTCTCAATCAGGGGCGGATCTAGGGGGGGGGGGGGGAAGGGGCCGGGAGGGGCCCCCTCCCCTGGCAAAAAAAAAAGTTTTAAAAAATAAGATGGTAATTAATTGTTGTTACTCAAATGGGGGGGGGGGGGGTGTTGTTATGAATAGAGCTCCCCGCCTCCTCTCCCCCCTCCGCTTATTCTGCCGGTCGGCTGTCATCTCATGAATTGGGCCCCCTCCCTAGCCGACGGCTGGATCCACCCCTGCTCTCAATATCTATATAGTTCCTATCTCAATGTTTATGCCGCTTACCAAGATTTAGCCATTCCCACATCATTTTGCTTTAGCTTGTGTCTAAAGCATTTTTTTTTCTGTACCAATTAAATTCAAGAAATTTAAAACAAATAAGTTCAAAGCTAATGAATATTAACATTAAAACCTTGAGGAATCTAATTTTGTTTTTATACTACACCAATCCTATATGATTTTTACATTGCAAATAATTCAGATTCCAAAGTAATCGTGGCGTGGCGTGCATGGGTCCTCGTACTCTCTTTAAAAAAAAGAGAGTGAATTTTCACTCTATTTTCACTTTCTTGGGAGTGACGTCCGTGATCAGTCTTGTTTAGGAGTGAAAATCGATTGATTTTAGAGTGCTCTCTAGGAAGAAAAGAGTGAATGTTCACTCTATTTTCACCACATTTTCACTCTCCAGAGGAGTGACGTCCGTGATCACTCGATTTTTTTAGAGAGTAGACAGAAATAACCGTCTGATTGGGTCATTTCTTTAATAAAATTGACATTTGTTGACATTCCTATAATCGGAGGTCTAGTGGAGCCAGACGTAGTCTCAATGGAACGACCGACGATTAGAGAGACTGAAGTTTTCGGTCTAGGGTCCTCGCAGCCATTGAGGGATGTCGCTAAAATTGTATTTTTATATTGCAAATATGCATTATCGTTATAACCATTCTTTTTCGTTTATTAGCTCGGTTGCCTTCGTAAAATGTCACGTCCATTGAGACCCCCTCGCCCGTTCCCCGTTTTTGAGTCGCTGCCCATATAGCTTGCTTCATGTCCTAACCGTGATGAAAACCTATCTCCCTACCCCCCCCCCCCCCCCCTCTCTCTCTCTCTCTCTCTCTCTTTCTACTTTATCTTCAACCATACCCCCTCTCAGCCCCTCTGGGCCCTAGCTCTCTCTCTCTCTCTCTCTCACGGCGTCGCGGGCCATCTTAAACCATACCCCTCCTCTCTCTCTCTCTCTCTCTCTCTCTCTCTCTCTCTCTATCTCTTTCTCCCCATCTTCAACCATACCCCCCCCCCCTCTCAGTCTCTTTTCAACCGTGACGCCCCCTCTGGGCCCTATATAGCTCTCTCTCACTTTGTCGCGGGCCCTCTTAAACCATACCACTATCCCCCCCCCCTCTCTCTCCCTCTTTCTCCCCATCTTCAACCATACCCCCCCCCCCCCTTCTCAGTCTCTTTTCAACCGTGACGCACCCTCTGGGCCCCTAGCTCTCTCTCTCTCTCTCTCTCTCTCTCTCTCTCTCTATCTCTCTCTTTCTTGTTGATCTTTCTGCATGCCCCCCCCCCCCCCACCGCTCACATGTATACTTATATGCCATAAGGGTTGGCCAACAATGTTTTCTTTGAGCGGAACATAACTATATTATGTAGGCCTATACCACAGATCGTTAATCTTTTAAAGTCATGATTTGATATGAAAATTTCCACGAAAGTAATCACCTCACATGAACTAACACTTAAATGAGCTCTGGTTCAAGTTAGTTCCTCTTTTCTCGTGCTCTTTACATTATGTTTATCGTTTCATTGCATATTTTTGTGATATAATCATTCTTGTATTATGTTTTGTATGAGAAATAAAATCATTTGAATCATTTATAATGTTCTATGTCCAAAAAAATAAAATCCCGATAAATAAATACTTTAGGCTGTGTCTTTCCAGTTTTCCATACATCTAAAATTTCCAATTCATAGCGGGATGGGGGAGGGGGGGGGGGGGGGGGGCTGCAGCCATCGTGGAGCATTTTGAAAACGCTACGTATCATGTATATGGGCCAATAAAGGGCAATGCTTGTGTGAGGTGTCCAACTAATCTAATCCTATTTTAGCACTGAGGTGCCTGGACTTTGAGGAAAATTGTGAACTAAATTATCATGGGAAAATCATACAAATCATTAGACCCTTGGTATATCTACATGTAAATTTATATATTTATATAAATAATATGTTGTATACATTTTTTTGGCGTAGTTAAAAGTGCTGCTAGCACTGACAATATCTTATACATGTATAGAGTTTATAGTTTTACTTAAGTTTTTTGTTGTTGTTGTTCAGTTTTTGTTGAAATCTTGCTTTCAATTTATCGTGTGTTGTTTGCTGCCAAAGAACCTTTCTTTAGTAAGATACATGTATGTTTTTCTTTCTTTCAATGTTTTTGTTGTAAAATATCTTTGTACCATTTATCTGTATTTCTTCCATGACCCAGGTGAGGCTGTTTAAGAAAGATAACAAACCTTTCAAACCTTTCAATACAGTCCTTCTTCCTAATCATTTTTGTATGGTGAGTTTAGTCGTAGATTTTTATTGGGGATTTTCTTTTAACATTTACACATGTCATGTATTTCTAAAAGCTCATATTCCTTATCTTACATAGCGTAATAATTTCAAAACAATCGTTTTAATCTACTGATAAGTTTACAACATTCAAATTTTTAAAGATGCATACAATCACATAACGTGAAATACATTTTCATATATAAAATAGCATTTTAAAATTGCTTTAATTTCTCAATAACATCCATTATTTACTATAACATTTCTCAAGATTTTTATTTTTCTAGAATAGTCCTTTCGTCGATTTTGTTTGCATGACATTTTAACCATGAATTAAGACGTCCCGCCTGTCCCTACCCCTCTACCCACCCTTCCCTCTAAATAATTAGGAGAATCGATGTGAAGAGACCTTGAAAGGGTCGATACCAATGATCTACTCCCCCGGTCTACATCCCCACACTCGCTCCCGGGCAACAGGTGGATTTACCCTCTATTGTTTACGCATAGTGCATAGCAACAGTAAACGCTCATTGCTTTCGTGTATACTGACCGCAGCTCTCTGTGCTTGCTGAAGTAAACAATATTGAAACCTTAAATAAATCAGTAGAAATATCACGTTCATTATCTTAGGAATCATCCAGAAATTCTTCAATTTGTTGGATTACATTGGACCTCGTACCGGGATCGGTTGTTTTTGTCTAAGAACTCCTGGAATTACCTTCATCATACTCTAAAGACGCCCGGAAGTGATTTACTTCGGGCGGTTCGCGATCAGAGTTTTAGCCGGGGCTGTGGGCCTAGGTACAGGTTCGCATGGGCCCTGGAGACGGCGCAAGGCAAGGTCAAATTCAACGCCCACATAACGCAAAAGCATTGACCGGACTAATTAACATCATTCAAGAAATCAGAGGTTAAGTTCTAATCTAAAGGCCGACTTCCAGTGAAGGAAACAACAAGAAAGCTTGGATATGGCAGTTCATGTCACAACAGAAATTGGAAGAGTTGGACGCAAAGGTAAACTAAACCTCTAAAAAGTCTAATTTCTATACCATACTGATTTCTTTATTAACAAAAAAATCTAAAGTGAGAGATTGAATTTGAATCTTAGGTTAAGTAACTTACACTTGCAGAGTCCTGTAACATACTTTTGTTTTTTCAAAGCTTAAACCTTTTGATACTTACATGTAAGTTAAGTTCCAGTCTGCCAAACAAGTACACTGTGGTGTAGACCAAGCATCTAGACCAAGAACTAGATAGTTTATTCCTCAGCACTACATCCTGACTTATGGATCGATCCTGCTGAGTATCATCATAGAAGTAGAAGTAGAAGAAGTAGACATTAAACTTTGAAACTGCAAAGTTATAGCTTAGAGTTAGAAAAGTCAGATTGCTGAAGTTTGCATAATTTGTGCTATAGTAATTATTACATAACTCAATCATCACTTTTTTACCGTTGTTTGCATGTTGTTTGTCGCGTAATCCAGGCACAGTAGCCCATGCAAGTGCATCGATTCACAGGAACCTGTTTTATTTTGTTTTAATTATTAATATTACAGTGTACATTGTATTTTAAGATCATTTGATCATTTGATTTGCAAGATATTTCATTAGCAGTCAAATATTGTAACCAAAATGTGCCTGGTTTCCATCAAGTAGTTACTCAGGTTCCTGAAAATTGTTGATGAAACTGTTAGTTCATGCAATTATGTATCATCTTTTCTCTATGCAGAAAGGGAGAGGAGACATTACAATGAGCGTAGAGGTTATGAAGAGGAAGAAGCAAGAGGCAGAAGATACCTAGACCCCGGGTATGGAGACCAACCTGAATGGAATCCACATGCAACAAGAAAAGATGTCAAATATACAGAGTAAGTAGAAAACAGATATCTTTTGTGGTAACTTTACAATTTGTTACTGACATGTTTATGATTGAGTATTTCTACACTTTAGTTGTATTACCGGTAGTGATTATCACAAATTTTGAAATGAATTTCCTTTGAGTCTTTCAGCATGAACTCTTATTTACAAAGTATGTGGAGGATATAATCCATTCCTCTTTCCTTTTCAAGATTCAAATGATTTTTTTTTTAATTTCTCATGCAAAACATAAAACAATGAATAACAGTGAAACAACAAATATAATAGTAATAGCACCAGAAAAGAGAAACTAACTAGAAGCAGAGCTTGTTGAAGTATTAGTTCCTCAGATGCTGTTTTACAATATATCTTGAACAAAGTATACTTAGAAAATCAATGAAAAATCAAAATATGTAGCAAAGAAATTATTAACTTTGGGGAAAAATAATTGAGCTCAATATCTCTTTCATTGCTGAACCCCTAGCTAAACACAATGGGTAAATACTATGTCTCCTAATTGAATATTTGTTAAAGCTTTGAGGTTATTCTTGCCTTTTGATGGCTCGTTTATACAAGAAAGTATACTGACCGGTCAGGTTTTATAATTGCTTTGATTGCTTGACCAACAGCCATGGTCTTGACTGGAGCTCAAGAGCAAGGTTCATCCCTCCTCCAAAGGCCTACACAGGAGAGTATCCAGAGGAGGTTACACTACCAAAGCTACGTTGCTTTCCACGTAAGAATCTAGCTAGCTAGCTTTCCATTTTCATGCACTTACTTATATTTTTGATAGTGAATCTTACATTTACTGTCACTTCAGTCTTTGATAAGCATAGTGCTGTTAACTTTTGCTGATTATTTGTTTGTGATGATAGCTAAAAATGTAAAAATCACAAAATTATATATATGATATGAGTTTGCTTTTTAAATGCTTATAGTTGTATCTTGAAAGTTTGTGAGTTCTTCGTCATTACGCACAGCGAGTTGGTTAGGGTTACAGTACAATTTATATTTGTACCAAGAAAGTGTTTGGATGACAGCTTTTGCTAATTATTTGGGTCATGTTTGAATTCAGTTTATGTTTATCAAATAGATCTATCGTGAATGTGAATGGGTTGGGTTTCTAAGAACTCTTTTAATCCTCAGTCCTTGTAGTAATCTATGTCTTGGGTTTATCAAAAATAACATTATTTCCCTTTCTTTTTCTTCAGATAAAAATTCCTCTGTGACGTCAAGAGCAGAATGGACAGCGTACCCCGAGGGTTTTCATATCGGAAGGAGATCCAAGTTTGTGAAGAAAGAGGAACTAAAGCACATAGCAAGTACTACATCAAAAGCAGAAATCACACATTCTATGATGCTGGGCAAGAATAGAAAATGTAAGATGTTCATCAATTATATTTTTATGAATTTTGTTTCCAGTTCAAAAGCAAAGTGATAACTTAATACTACCCACCATTTTGTTTTCTTGTTTAAAGTTCCTTCAATGGAACAAGTGAAATAGAAATGAAGTACTGAAAAATAACATTGCACAGATGTGTTGGTAAACAAACTTTCTGAAGAAAAAAAAAGGAAAAAATCTGTTTGAAGCATGTCATAATCACTATGAACATGACGGACAAAGAAAGGGGACAAAATATACAGTTCCTCATTCTTCCCTCAACAATTGTTATGGTAGACAAAGGAATTACATCCCTTCACTGCTATTATGTAAAAATGTGTAGAATAGGTGAATATGCATGTGACACCTGTTCTACAGATTTTTATATAATAGCAGTGAAGGGATGTTCCTTTGTCTACCATAGCAATTGTTGAGGGTAGAATGAGAAACTGTATATTTTGTCTGCTTTCTTTGTCCATCATGTTCATAGTGGATGTATTCCAACATTTGCAGATGAAACAATATACAATGCAAGAAATAGATCCTTTTGCATAAATTGCTACCTATAGAAATGTTAAAATATATTGTGATAAAAATATGTTTTGAAATATACTACAGTGTATGATGATGCTGTAGGGACATATTGTCAATCATATTGACAATCTTATTCTTCATGAACCCTTTGTTACAGTGACCTCTGTATGGGAGAGAAGGGGTGAATTTCCTGCTGCCTCAGGGGGAGATAAGAGCTACCAAGCCCCAGAGTATTCCTCAAACTTCCACCATTTTGGTTCCACAAGGCCAGTTGTAACTTTTGGGTAAGTTTCAATTACATGTAGCATTGATACCATTGTCTACTCATGCCATGTTGTGAATGTATGAATATGTAAATGTCAGAATGTACATGTATATTGATAATGCTTTTGTAGTTGTGTCATTGAAATTACAACTGATATGAATTATGAAAGTATAATCTTAATAATTCCAAACACTAGTACTAGAATCTTTAAATTCTTTCAATGTACAGGATTGTATCATTCTATAGTAAAATATCTTTGAAAAAATACATAAATGACATTGTGTAAGATGGAGAATAAGCTTTAATTTGACCTTTTGAGAAGGGGGGGGGGGGGTTGGTGGTGAGTGGTGATAGGGAAAGTCAGGGTTAACAAGCATTTTAGAGTATTAGAGTGATATCCAACATAGTATGCTAACATCTTGTATCAACAATTCTTAATACTTTACAGTGGCACAATCAAATTAAGACCGGACACGTTTGTTCCACTCCAGGAGCTCCCAACAGAATACTGGTGAGTAATATTCTTTTTCTCTGGTGATATGTAAAATATTGTGCAACATTTACTATGAGGAAATAATTTGATTCTCTAATTTTCTCTTCAAGAGAAATAGAAATTATGGAATTAGTAGCTGGAAATTGGATCTTAATCCAAATTGCATTTTTGACAGTTTGTGGTATGACTAATGTGAGACAAACTGGAATAGGATCTACAGTTCAAGAGGGATTGTAGAGCTGAGATGATGAAAAGGAAATATGAAAGAAGAGCTGGGGTTTTGTGATCTCAAAAAGTAAATAGGAGGGGGAAAATTGTTGAAAAAAAAAGGCAACGGTTCAGAAGTACATGTACATGTATGTACAGCAGCAATGATTAAGGATAGAAAATTCAAAGATACAGAAAAAAAAATTTCTCCAGGATTTTATATTTAAAATTTATTATTCATCTGTTTATTTCTTTGCACAGTGAACCTTTTAATTCGAAGGAGAGGAGAAGGAAATACACAACTGAAGTAGATTCTGTGATGAATCTTAACAACTGGAAACCTGCACCACAACTCGTTGCACTTTCCTTCTGAATTGAAGGAAGGAAATCATTGGACCGTTACAATGATGAATGGCTGTACCAATCCAGAGAGTCCCCCTGTCTTGTTAATGTTAATATCATGTGTGATGTGTAAAAAGTTCATAACTTGGCAACAGTGTTGCTTATTGTTGTGATTTTAACAAGTGTGTGTTGTACGTAACAAAGCATATTATGCTAGGGATGAACACCAAAGTATATCTGACATTCTTCTTGTAAGAAAATTTATCATAAAATGCAGAGATTTTCTAGTATTATTATGTGTGCCATTCAGAAAAGGTGTGGTAAATAGCCTTAAAAGACAATCGCTTATGATTTAGAAAATAAGAATATCCTACCCCTTCTCATTTCATTGTGCTGTGCTCATTTGTCTAAGTTGTGCACCATCTGAATTGGCCTTCTGTACTATTCAATTGTACTATTCACGGGCAATTAGATGTGTGTAAAGTCTGTTATCAAATTAAATCCTTTCATGTTACACTAATATCCCAATGTTTTGTGGAATGTTGTAAATGAAGGAGTCAGAAAGACGATTACACTATCTGTTCTTTTAACTGCTATGAAAATGCAAAATTGCTGTTTTTACCATGTTAGCAGCTTGGCCCTCAAAGTTTTTCATTTTTGATATCTTGCATTTTAAAAAAGCTGCATTTCCCTACATGATCTTATACACTGTGGTGCAGATATTTTTCCTGTGCATTGTATTTATCCTACCTTTCCATGTGGCCTTTTGCTCTAAAATGTTACAAAACATATGGCTTTAGGGTTAGTGTTTAATCACAAATACAAATGCAAGAGACTCTTGCTCACACATTTAAAATGCCTACATGTAGGTCAATACAGAATTACAGACACTCATTTTTTAAATTTCATTACTCTGAAATATTTCATTACAAATTAGAAGCCTCATTATTACAAACTGATAATAGGCAGTGAGCTGAAATAATTACAAATGACAATCAGTAATATTTAGAAAAGACTTGTCATATTTATTGCTATTCTAATTTCCTCTATTAAACACTGATATTTACATAAGTTGTAAACAAGGCATATCCTTATACATCATGTCCAATAAATTTCCGTCATTGTATTTTTGTATTAAATGAAATCCATTTTTATTTTGAGTATGAAATATAAATGCTTTTTTGATTTACATTGTTCAATACATGTAACTTATACATGTACTGATTGATTAGACAATAACTATCAGAGATTTAGTTTTGTAGGTTACAATAAGTCATCTTGTATTTTCTATTTTTATATTTTTACACTGAAATGTAATATGTTTTTAGATTAGACTTAATATTTCAATAGTACTAACTCTGCCTTACCAATCAACTCTTATTTTATACATCTGTCATGATTTCACATCACTATAACTTCTTTTTTATACCTTGTACATATACACCATGTAGGTATTATAAGTTATGCTACAATAACACGTCAGTGTCACTTTTTACTTGTAAATATTCTTTACTGGACAAAACATTCTTTTGTTTATTACAATAAATATGTTTGAAATGTATAAAACTCTATGTACATTGTGTTTTCTTCAATATGGCTAATATCTCCTCTTTTCTCTCTACGAGTTTGACCTTTAAACAATGCTGTTTTCTCTGTACAAAACAGCAAATGGGAGGCGACAAACATGAAGACATGAATAGTTTTTACTTGACCAAGCATCTCTACACAATAGCCCAAACAGCAAGACTTGCAAAGAGTTCATTTTTAAATCGAGGGTTCAGTGACATAAAGACGTAACTCCATATTTTGCCAAAATGAGTATTTGATATAAAAACCTTCAGAAAAATGTGGGCTTTCCAGGAAACACAAAGATTTGACTCCACCCAACACCCCATTAAAGTTGATGGCTAGTGAAACATAGACTTAACTCCGTAAGGCCCAAGTGCTCAGTGACACATAAACCACTTTTTCTCAAAATGGAGTTACGTCTTTGTGTCAATGACCCCTCAAAATGTTCAATTGATGCATCCTCCACCTCTAAATATCTATTCTCTTGGATCGCTTTCCGTGCACACAAAATCCCAAAACCCATGTTTTGGACACACAATTCTGAAACAGATCAAGATTATTTGCAGAAACAGAAGCACTTTTTTGATCTAGAAACTTAAAGGTAAGGATGTAGAAGTCCCACATAATCCAACAAGGTATAAACTAGATGGACCATTCATTTCATAGATACATGAAATTATAACAGGCATTTTGACTAGAATTATACACATATATACAGTAAAAAAAGGCCTTCCTTAGGTCTCGATCAGATATGACGCGGCATAACAGCGACATTGTTTTCTGTTGATGACATAAACTATCATATGCTTCATACTTCTGTATATTATCACACAGAGCTTAGTGAATATGCGCAAGACCTTTGACGTGTGCAATTGCCATTCATCAACAGTGCGACAATACACCCGACGGTGGCCTGTACTGCAACTGAAGAAGAAGAAGAAAAGAGTGGCTTTTTTCTGATAGTTCACCGTGTCATATCTGAACATGCTTTTTGGTGTGTGGTTGTCATACTTGTATCTTCTAATATCCTTATACACATGAAGCACTTACTCTGTCTTTGAATGAGATGCTAAGTACTAAAGATCTTTACCCAAGTTTGAGAGAATAACGTGTAGTTTCACAGAATCACATTTCTTACACAAACTGAATGATATCCCTCTGGCTTCATTGCATATAAAACACTCGTTAACCAACCAACTTCACATGAAGAGATTTCAGTTTGTGTTCATTGATATCATATAGCAACTGTTGTAAAAAAAAATTACGACAGTGATTTATAAATATGGTTCGATGGACCTCAAAGTTTGTGAATTAGATCTTTAAATTCTTCTAAGAAGTTTGACAGATGTTACAATTAACATGATGTACATCAATGGCACAGTGATCCTTCAATCCACCTTATAAATACAGACTCGAGACTGTTCTGGTACAGAACTACTGCGATCCAAGAAGGAGTTCTGGCCTTATGGTTCTCTCTAGTAGGTCTACAAAAAGTCTTGTACAGTCAAAGCTGTCTATAGCGACGGCCTACAAGAAACACAAAAAGTGGTCTTTGTAGACAGGTTCCTTCAGTACATGTTTCAAGAAACCATTTTCAAGGGAAACAAAAAATGTGGTCCTTGTAGACAGGTGGTCACCGAAGCAGGTTTGACTGTATATAAAGTCACTTCATTACAGGGATCAGAGTTCACTGGAACTCATTCTCAACGTCGTCATTCCTCCCGGTATATCAATCACTGAGAAGCTTGATGGTCGTCATCCTCCTAGGAGCAGGAGCCACAGGCTTTTGAGGCATCTGAACCTTCTTCATAGGAACCACCGGAATGTCCTCCTCCTTGACCTCCATCTCATCAGCTTCATCGCTATCACTCTCAGCTGTCAAGTCAATCACGTCTTCATTCTCATTATCATCTTCCTCTTCATCCGGGATGGCTTCATCGGGTATGGTGTCTTTGACGGTTACATGAGAACCACCGGGTACGGTGTCTTTGGCGGTTACAGGTGAACCACCGTTCTGAGATGGACGCTGGTTACTAGGTGTGTCTGTGGTCTGGTTGCTACTAGATGATGATGATGATGGATGATCTTCTTTGGATGGTTGATGTGTAGAGGAGGAGGAGGATGGTGGTGAGGATGAAGAGTTTGTGGGTTGATTGGACGGTGGTGAGGACAATGTAGTCAGTTGGATTCTCCTTGGTGCTGGCCCTGATCTGAATTATCAAATTTACAAAATATCAAAATTTTAAAATACTGATTGCAACGATTACTGACTACTTGAATGTCAAGGATTTCTTGTTGAGGGCTTATGAAGGGGCTAGAAGCATAGGAGGGTGATTTTCTGATATAAATCCATTGAATAATGATTATATGTCATGAGGATGTGGGTAATTCCATAAATTGAATATGATTATTAAGTGATTCTAGGTATGAGGATGCAATATTATGCTTGGAAATCACTTTACAATCTCACTCTATTTAATCTCACAACTATTTAAGTCTTTACTCAGAGCCACAAATACGTGTGGGTTCCTTATGTAACAGGGACACCACACATGCCACAAAGTGGGTCCCTAATTTATGGAATTACCCATGTGGATGCGGGGGAGGGAGCTTACTCTCTTTGATGTGTGAGGGACTACATGTATAGGTGAGTGGTCTTGGAAGCCTCATAATACCGATGGTAAACAAAATGTGCTACAGTCCTTTACAAGGCAACAGCATTATGAATCCTTTATAGTCTCACACCTTGGGAATCTTAATAATAATGTAGCAATATCCTTGGCTTCATATGAGTTAATTCTAGATCATCACAGAATGACATACTAGTAGATACACTCTATTTAATTGAAATCAATCCTCTTTATCATTATCTAATGCTACGGTCACAAAGGTTCGTACGAGTGATAATTTCGTACTATTCTCCGTTTTCCATTGTCTTCCCAAATTTCCATTGTCTGAAAATCGTTGGTACGGCGTTCATAGCAGTTCGTAATGGCATTTGTGACCGAGGCTTAAACAGCATGGCTGCTGTTGTTGTTGTTGTTGTTGTTTTTTTTTGTTTTTTTGGGGGGGGGGGGCATCTCAGAGCCAAAGTCTTGCTTTTTGTTTTCAACTTACCCTGGTGGTCCTGATATCATGACAGGGGTGATCCTCTTAGCTTCCTTCACTCTATTTCCTCCAACAGGCTTGACAGTTATAGAGGCTGGACCACCTGCTGCTACACCAGTAGATACAGACTGCTGATTGGGCGATTTTGAAATTCCTGTATTTTGATTCGGTGATTTTGAAATCCCTGCATTCTGATTGGCCAATGTCTGAATAGACACTGCAGGAGTGGGTGAGGGGGAAGACTTGGTAGCGCTAGGTGGAGCAGGGTTAGGTGCAGTGGTAGGGACAGGTTGAGAGACGTAGGGAACACCCAGTTCACCAGCTTCAAAAGTCACAAAGGAGCAGTAGCCATCCGTCGATGAGACGGCCAATATCCTGCCATCAGATGACCTGTCAAGTATATGATCAAACACAGAACATGACAGCTTCATTCCAGGGGGGTCTTTCACAAAGATCCCAAGTCAAACTTAACTTTAAGTTGGACTTAAATATTATGGAGAGCCATTTGTAACCTTAAAATAAAATATGTTCAAAAGCAAAAATTAAGTATTTTAGTCTTTTCATAAATTCCACATCAAGAACATGAAATCCCCTTGATAATACGCAATATGAATAATTTGAATCAACATTTTATGCCTTTAAAAATAAATTTTACAACTTTCCATAATTGTTAAGTCCAACTTAGAGATAAATTCAACTTAGGATCTTTGTGAAACACCCCCTGAAGGAACATTATGATTCTTCGGCTGTCCTGAGAAATGAATTCAAATACACTGTACACTCTGCCCTAGAATGGCTAAATAAAAGCAAATGGTTTCCACCTTGTAGCAGGAAACAAGTACATGCACACTGAAGGATGTCCTAACCACTGATGCTATCTTTCAATATTAGGCAACAACATGCCTTTCAGAATAACTTTAAACGAGACATTCCTGTCCATAATTTTGCCAATTTCAGGCATTTCCCCCTAAAAATTGAAATATTTCCAAGTTAGGCCTCAAAATAAAAAGAAGATGTATTGCCCTTTGCGACCGACCCAAAAATCTTGAAATATACGATCAGCTTTTAAAAAAGTTTGTTTATTTTTCTGTTTTTTAGATAAATAAATATCAGCCCAAAGAGGGAGAAAAAAGAAAAGTAAAAAAAGAAGAAGAAAGATTCTGACCGACCGATCCATGTTTTGGCACCTAAAGGGCAATACAACTTTTTTTTTTTTAAGGCTTTACAGTTGTGCCCTTTCTTGATAATATGGACAGTCCTACGTATCACTTACCATGTGACATCACTAAGCTGATGGTAGTGGATGTTTGAGATGAGACCAAATGGAATGCTCTGCTGGGTGTCATACAGGAGCAGAGAGTCTTCAGTTGCTACGGCAAACACCATACGGTAAGGTAAGCTGATGAGAATAGACAAGCAAATAGATTAAACATTCTTTGTATCATTATGGATTGAATTATATACTTTGGAAGTTTGTACAAGATTTGTAACATCAGCTCCTGTACAATGAGATAAAAGTTAACAAATTGTAACACATATCAATAGATCTAACACAGATGAATAGAGCAAAATAGCACTAATGCAGACAACTATTGCACTATGCAATTTTCCACTGATTAAAAAGATGAAAGCAAGTAGTCCAATTAAAAGATACTGATAAGTTAGTGTTATAATTTGAAATTGCATGAAAGCAGATATCTAACATATGCCTTTGAGATCAAATTATACAAACTGCAAATCTGATCAAAGATATTTTAAAAACTTATAACATACTAAATATTTATATTTGAGTACATTTTTAGAGGATGAAATATATAATGGTTCTTACTCAAATAGCTGTGTAGCTTGGTCCTTGGTCTCAGGCTTGGTCTCAGGCTTTGAGGGGGAGCTAGCTGATTTATCTTGGACCTCTTTACTAGAATCTGATTTCTCTTGCCCTTCTTCCTTAGACTCAGGAGATGTGTTGGGAGCAGCAGCATCGGTTTCCATTGGTTCTACAGGGGAAAATAAAAAATATATTCTTGTTTATGGTATCATGAGGAAAGATTAGTTTCTTCTTCATATTCTTTAATCAAGTAACTTGAATGTTCATGTTCATCTTAAAAAAGGAAATAATTATGTAATAAAATCACAGTACGTATCCAGACCTGACTGACACTGACAGCAAACTAGAACAAAATGTTCCACTGGATTGAATCTCCCCTAATGGCAGAGAGGCCAACAAGCGCATATTTGGCTGAACTTGTTAATAAGGCAGAAGCATTGCCATTAAGCCTATCCCAGGTGTTATTTACCGCCTAAGTATGTTTATACGGAAAACGATATTACCTACTTTATATTGTTCATTGATTCTCCCATCCCTATCCTATTGTAATATTATATCGGCAAATACATATCGAACGAGTCTAAAAAAGCTCTGTGCACAGCAAAATAAAGTTTTACGTATCATATCAGTTTCTCACCCACGATCCAGTAGCGATCCTTTATTTAAATCTCTTAAGTTGCTTCGTTTTGAAGATATAAATAAACTTCAACAATGTACATTATTATATAAATGTCTAAACTCACAACTACCTTCTCATTTCTGCGGCCAATTCCAATGTGTTTCATAAGTATGGTACCAGATCATCTGAAGAAATCTAAATTCCTAAACGCCATAAACGTATTTTTCAAAATAATATCCGTTTCACGGGTCCGAAGCTTTGGAACGATTTACCTGAACCTATGAGGAAATCTGTATCTCTGTTAAGCTTCTCTTGGAAGCTTAAAAAATGTATCATTTTAAATTACAATGCATAAGTATTATCCCTTTACCCAATTAGGTTGACGAGTGTATATTAATATTGTATAAGGGATGTATATGGATATATAAGTATATTATATGTGTTGTATTCATGTGTATAATTATGTAAACATACATGTATGTATGGGGTCCTCCCGATTTTGCTGGTAATTTGTTATGTATATTATTTTGAATTTTAATGGAAAATAAATGAAATGTTTATGTATAGGCCTATGTTGTATAAATGCATGTACTTGTAACAAAGTAAATATATATGTATATAATGTCAAATATTTCAACACTACACTCTTCACCTATATCTTGCCATTATGTTGTTTATGCATGCCATACACTCCATTGACACTATGTTGCAGTCCTCTTCTTTTCCTCTCTTCTTTTCTCTTTCTCCAAGCTCTCTATCCTCCTCTCCTCTTTGCCTATCCCTTTCTTCCTTTCTTCCTTTCTCCCATTTATAATGGATAATTGTATTTATGTATTCGGGCGTACCCACTACAAGCTATGCTTTTCGGGTTTCGCGCCTTCTTCCTTGTAATACAAGTTCTTTAATTATATTTATGTTCCTACTTATAAATTGTATTGTTTGGAAGAAAATAAATGTACATTTGAATTGAATTGAATTTAAATAGTAGCTTCAAGTAGGCCTAGATCTAATCACATCGAGAGGCTTCTGGTTAATGAGATAAGCAGAGTGAGGAGATCTCTGTACAGTAATACTAGTAATATTATATCCACCAGTCAACTATCTATGACTTATATCCACCAGTCAACCATCGAGAGGCTTCTGGTTAGTGAAATAAGCAGAGTGAGGAGATCCCTATACAGTCAACCTCTGGTGCTACCACAATCCAACGTGGTCATCTTTGCAGATAACATCCTTCGGTACAGAACAATACACTCATCCTGTGAGGAGGCAGTTCTACAGACAGACCTAGACCGAGTTCATGACTGGTGCTCATCAAATCAAATGACACTGAATGCAACCAAGACAAAGGTGATGCACATTACTCGGAAGAGAAAATCTGACCAATACCCAGACTACACTCTAAATGATTGATGCACCTTTGGCACCGACATCATCATACAAGTACCTTGGGGTGACCATATCATCTAATCTTCGATGGAATCTACACGTTGACTCAATCGTATCTCGTGCCAATCGACTTCTTGGGTTCATTCGCACCATTGCCTGTGGGGCCTCAACGGAGGCAATATTTTGCTTGTACATATCATTGGTACTCCCCATTTTGGAATACAGTATTCCTGCGTGGCATCCGCATACTGCTGCACAAGAACACAAACTCGAACAGATGCAGCGAACTGCTACAAGAGTTGCACTCCACCAAAGGAGATGCGATATACCGTATGAGGAGCGCCTCTCTCGGCTCCACTGGACCTCACTCCAGTCCCGAAGGGATTATGCTCTATGTGCATACATAATGAAGTGCTTATCTGAAAACATCAGATGTGAATCAATTTTGGATAATCTGCAAATAAACAGTAGGCGCCTTGATCACCTTACATTCGTTCATCTCCCATCAAGAACCCAGGTCTTATTCCTGTTCTCAACCCGAAGATTCTCAAGAATTTGGAATAACCTACCCTTCTCACTCAGGGATGCGGCTGTCCTTGTCTCACTACCCTCTTTTCTTAATCAATTAAAATCTTACTTTGAATAAACTATGAACACATGTTACAAACATCAACAGTTGATGTTTGGATATAATTTTGATTGAATATATAGTTTGAATATTAGGAGATTGATTTGTATTTCCCTCATTATAATTGATTCTATCGCACATTTCAATTAGACCGCTTAATTTTATTCTCCAAAATCTTTCTTAAGTGCAACATAATAACTATAATTCCATTCCGATTTCTGCTATTTACTTTTCTTTTTTGCTTCACTTAACAGACATGCCAGTGACACCTGAAATAACATATTGCAATTTATCGAGCTTAAGCTTTAGCATTGTCATCAATAAGTTTTTTTTATATTATATTATATTTTTTAAAAATTATAATTATGTATAATATTTTAGGCATCACCTGATGCATCTCCTGGAGTCGGAAGAAAAGACTTACAGGTTATAGGAATTTACATTCCTTTTTTTCTTCCCGGCAACTTCGGGAGGTGCAGCAGGGGAAGCCAATTTTATTCTTTCATAGCTTGTATCCTATGTGCCATTCTATTTTACCTTGTATTGTACGTTTGAAATGCCAAATAAATAATAATAATAATAATAATTGTTATAATATGCATGTTGTAATCACACATACACAAGGCCAGAGAAGTGCAATACATTTTGTTTTGTTTTGTTGTTTTTCTCTCTCTCTTTCAGGGCCATTCCTCCTCACAAAATGTGCTTTTCTTTCAGTCCTTTCCATATTCCATACTGTATTTTGTATTATTTTGTGTATGCTTTATGGTTAAATAAAATATCTTGAATCTTGAATCTTAATGAAATGATCCACTTTTTGTCAAATCTTACCATCTTTTTGCTCAGCTTTCTGCTGTGTACTCTCTGATTTCTTTTCCGGCGTTGCTGTGGTAGAATCCGCGTCGCTTGATTCCTGTCTGAACTCAAACAACACTGGGCAACACCTAACAGCTATGGTGGCCTTGGTGGGACATGGCAAGTGTAGTACAGGCCTAGAGAAATGGAAAGATTTCGCTAATTAATATTTGAACACCAGAATTATGCATCTCCATAGCTACAACTAATAATAATAATAATAATCTTTTAAAGTCCACTCCAAATTTTATTAAACCGAAAATGGAAATTCTTTTTGCCCAATTGATCGTGAGCCCGGCAGCCACTGAGCAGCACCAGATCGACGTTGCTCTATCCCTTATTGTTGAACGCCAAACAAGGTAGCAGCAACTCCAGTCTTTTAATGTCTTTTGGTATGACGCGGCCGGGGTTCGAACCCACGACCTCCCGGTTGCGAGGCGGATGCTCTACTGACCGAGCCTACACACCAGGATGATACCATTCTGTGATAACTCCCAAGGGCCTGTCTAGGATCATGGTCATTTTTCAAATTGAGAGGTTGTTCAAAGGGTAATCATTCAAGTGGACATTGTCTAGTCGAGAACTGAGTGGTGGCTGTCCTACAGATTAATTGTTCTGGGGAAGTTGTATGGATGTTGCCAAGTGATAATTGTCATTGTGCACTGGTAATTGTGATGTCTGGATGCTAATTGTCCAGCAGAAGGGGGATGGATTATATTTACAAGGGGTTGGTAGAGCATCTACATGGCATTTCAGACCATTGTAAATCTATAGACTAGAACTCATAGAAATCAACTATCCTTTAGAAATAAGATGGTGACTCCTCAGCAAAAAGCATTTCACTTTAGAAACAATGAATTTCACCAATTAGATTCACATCATATATGTGTAAAGCGCCATGAGCGTCAGAACCTGGCGGGTACCGGCGCTATATAAATAACCATATTATTATTATTATTTATTTATCAAAATTCACATCTGAGAGTACAAGAGAGAAACAAAATATCATTGTCAAGGTAGGCTTTTTAACAGTAAACCGGACTTTGCTGTCATGTCCAATGAAAAATGGATTCGTTCACATAGGAACTTTTAAAATACATTTGTAGGCGAATATCATTTAGCCCTAGTCTTTGTTATTCGCTAATGAATTTTCAATTCAATTTAAGTTTTATTCAATCTCGTCAAAAATTACTAAGCCTAAAAATGCGAGTTTACATCAAACATATAATAATATAAAAGAGCATTCAAAAGCATAAATATATATAAAGAAAAACATAGCAAATGGGAAAAAATATATCAAAATAAATTAATGTTACATCAAAACATCAAAGCAGTAACAAAAGAACAAAACACGGCCTTACTTTGAGAAGGATGAAGTAGAGAATACATATGTTGTGTTGAGTACACTGTCTCCTATCTCCAGGATACCAGCAGGGACGATGAGCAGCTCACCATCAGGACTAAACGCGAGCCGTCTGAAGAAGGACTTCATCGTGTCATCATGGAACATACGATACTGCTTCGTCACACCCTAACAACAAATCAAGTGAAGGAAGAAAAAAAAATGTATGATTCCTAATTACCTTTAAAGGCCCACTGTACTACCTGTAGCTACTTGCTCCCTCTATATAGAAAACAATGCCTAATCGGTGACCATTGGTCCCTCATGATCCTCTTTTTCTCATGTTAGTTGAGAGCTGAGTTGATGAGATAGCCACCCGTCAGTGACCTTCGTGGGTGGTCTAATCCCTCATAGCCAAACGAGTACAGATGGGCTTTAAAATATTTTCTTTCATCTTCAAAGACATCTTTGGTTCCTTTTCCAGTTAAATTGTTGACTATACTGAATCCTCCCATTCCAATAGGAAATAGGTTAAGATGTCATTCAATCTATCATGCCAAGCATACCAAGAATACACCCATTTTTTCCTCCTTCAGTCGTGGTGCTCGATTAACTTCTTTCTGGTCTAAAGAAAATAAGGCCTTAATTCTATCATATTTAAAGGTTTCCTGTGCCATTTCTAATCATATACGCTGCAAATGTATATGTTGTCCCAAACTACACTTAGATCCAGGGCCCTTGGGCATAGATTCATTACAAGTACAAGTGCAAGTAACAAAACTGAACAAGTTTAAAAAACAAAAGACAATAGGATTATTTTCTTGTAGAAAGATTTTGTTCTCTCTGGCTACTAACCTCTCCATTATTACCGGCTGCTGCCAGGGTCAGCTTGTTGACATGATGAATGCATCGATTGTTGCTCAGATTATACACTCTCATTGATCTGTGGTTTCAGAAAGGAATTCAAGTAAACAATATCAGTATTACCAATCAGCCACATATTTATAAACATTGTTCCAAACAATAAATGCATAGATACTGATCTGTGTTTTAATGCATGGGTAGATTATCTAAATGATCAATATCATAATACCAAATTATTGGTGCAGGTGACACTTCCTAAAATCTAAGAGAACCTTGCTTCACCATTATGTTATTTGTAGTTGCTTGGTTTAGCATCACCTCATGGCATCTACTTGTTAATTGTCGTTTACTATTAATTGTGCGGCTATGTTCAGCTCTGTCTTGGGTAGCGCTTGACCTCTCACGTTCTTTGATGTGTGTTTAACACAATGCTTTACAGTTTGCTTGACTGACTGACATCTCGTCTTCTAATTGCCTGGTGGCAGCGGTGGGATCGAACCCACGCCAAAATTGTGTTTAGCATATTCCTAAATTAAGTGTATGATATTACATGCTTCTCCTGCATTTCATTGGCAGGCGACAGTTGCTCTATGACAGGCTCATTAGACCTGTGTTATTGAACATTAATTGGTAATCATATTCAGTGCAATGTACATGCTGGCTTTAAAGGTATAGACCAGTTTTGGAAATGCCCCCAATTTCAAAAAATGAAATGGAAGCTCTCATTACCAATCATGTGAAAGAATATGCTTTGACCAACGGGTGATGATACAAATTTTGCTGGGAAATCGCCTACTAATTCATATATTTGGTAAATTGCCATATCTATCCGGCCTGGATAGGTATAGGGTAGTCCCATACATCTTTCTGTGTATAGTACTTGTAACTTTACCAAGACTGGGCCAAATTTCTTATAATTTTGATGATTTCAGAACTTTGCAGTACATACCAATACTTATATGCTAGATGATCAACCTTTTCTGATTCGTTTCCACAACGTTTCTTTCACAATGCAATCGCATGACCAGAACTGGTCTATACCTTTAATCTCAAAATCATACTAACAACATTTATACCTAGGCTAAATAACCTTTATAAACAACATATACTGTATCTAAATTAATGTAGAAACCCCTATCTGTCCTCAGCCCGACATAAACATAAAGATAAAATACTGCTGCATTTCTACCTATCACAGCTGATTGTGGCACAGAATCTGTCCTTGGGATCCCAAGCTACTCCTTGAACAAAACTCCTATGATCCTTCAGAAGAAACAGCTTCTCTCCTGAAAGATAGACAAAAAGAATTCAATAATAAGAATGACTGTCCTTTGCATATCATTTTTTCCTGTTTATAAATAACTTATCCAAGCAGTCAACATAGAAATCAATGTACTGTAGAACGAGGTAGTACTATAGTTTAGCGGTGTTTTATATGCTACAAGAATAAAGGAGTATTTTGTCAAAGACTCGCAAGTATATGTTTACTCTCCAATCTCCCTCCCCCCTCCACCCCATGTGGCTTTCAAAAATTGGCAAAATAACAAGATCTCAAAAAGACATTTCAAAGATGTTCTTGTCAAAAGCAAGGACATCAGGACAGAGCAATGTAAGTCTGTTCTTACAATCAGAAGGTGGGAGGATTCTGTGTACTTCTTACCTTTCTGTGTATCCCAGATGATAGCACTGTTATCCACCGAACCTGAGATCATTCTAGATCCATCAGACAATGTAAGCCTGTTCTAACAATCAGAAGATGGGAGGATTCCGTGTACTTCTTACCTTTCTGTGTATCCCAGATGATAGCACTGTTATCCACCGAACCTGAGATCATTCTAGATCCATCAGATGACCAGGATATATCATAAACATCCTCAAGATGACCCCTGTAAAAGACAGATAATAGCTTACAATCTTTGATTCAACATTTGCTCTGAACTTTAAAGAGAAGGTTGAGTTCTGGGAAGGGGCGAAAAATAATTTGTGAGCTTTATCATTGTTATTATGCAAGTGTGGAAGAATATCAGATTAGAAATTTTCCCTAAAAAGCATGGCTCTTCAAATCCTTAATATTTGGATACTGCATGTAACAGGATAACAGTCGGGATGGATTTTTAAGCCACATGTTCCTGTAGTCCCATATACATCTTTCTCTGTAGACCTACAGTGCTTGTAACTTTACCAAGACTGGGCAAAAATTTCTTATCATTTTGATGATTCCAGAACCTTGCAGTACACACAAATATATATATATGATAGATGATCAACCTTTTCTGATCGATTCCATACGTCTCTTTGACAATGCAATCCCATGACCAGAACTCAACTTTCTCTTTAAGTTGTCAAAGATGTAAGGTTATGGCTTTGGTTGCAATCCGGTATAATGTTTTGTATATGATTAGGCAGGGCTTCCACACTAACGAAGAAGGGAGTCAGATTGAACCTTTTACAGTCTATATGCATGAATCCTTTACAAAAATATCTAAATTTTAGGAGTCCAGACTTGGGTTTTGTGGCCCATTTGTCCCTGATGCCTGTTATGTCAGCCAAGAATTAGAGTTAGGGATATCCAAATAGGCAAGCAATGCCAGTAAATAACTCTCAGAAAGTCTTTAGAATTCTCTTAAAATGGACAAGTAAGTCTCTTTGAAATTGAAAGCTCACCTAGGAACTGATATTTATCTTTTAACTCAGAACACTGCTGTGAAATGGAAATTAATTCTGAACTGGCAAACCCTAGTCTTAATTATCAAGGGTTCCATGGAAACACAATCCCATATCAATCTATCTATGAAAATAGTGTTAAAAAGCATTCAAGTCTCACCTGAGAGTCTTGAGTGTAGCCCAGGTCTCCTTACAATCTTCATCTTCTTTGCCAAAGACTGCTGCTACATAACCAATCTCCTGCAGCTTCCACAGGATTACCAACCCATCTAGTAAACACAACATGGCAAAAACAAAATTTTACTCAAATGTTTCTCTCATATTAAATCTCATTCGCTACATTGATTGATCGATTCAAATTTATTCCATTTCATATATCAATTGTTTGCACAATAAAGAACATAGTTGACAAAGTAAGTTCAAAATTATGAAATGAAACAGGAACCTATTGGAAAGCATAGCTTGTTTTTGTGGGTTCCCATGAATAAATATAATAAACATTACTTTCATAATTCATTTTAAAGTGTCTCATTGAGGGGAAAAAAGAAGAGTATGTATCTGACTAATTAAAAGTAGGGTCTAGTTTGAAACTAAGCAGTTAACTTTGAAAGCTCTCAAATGTCTGTTTCTCTTATTTTCAGAAGAATAGAAGGTGATTGACAATGAGGAAGAGAGAGTCAGGGAAAGGAAGGGAGAGGAAAAGGAAGGGAGATAGAAAGAGATAGAGAAAGAGAGAGAGAGAGAGAGAGAGAGAGAGAGAGAGAAACTATAGACCTAGATAAACAGAATAGTGGAATACGATGATGAGGGGAATGAAGAAAGGAGACAGAGAAGGAACGTAAGCACAAGAAGGAAACTACAAAGGAGATAAAAGGAGGAAACTGGTGTGAATTGTTAATGACTTAACAAATTCTAAGGAGGACATGAAACTTCTTGAACATCTTACCGTCTGCCCCCGATGCTAAGGTTTCTCCATCTGGTGAGAACCTGACTACATTAACTGCTTTGGTATGGCGGGAGAGACTAGCAGCGAAGGTGGGTTGTGCCTTGCCATCATTATCAACACTCACATACCATACCTATCAATGGGAAAATACAGAGATTATGGCAATAAAATACATTTTTTATATACGAAAGTTTAAGAAAAGTATTAAAGGCACACTGCCATACTTGTAGCTACTTGCTCCCTCTATATAGAAAACTTCCCCAATCGGTGCCTGTTGGTCCCCCATGATCCTCTTTTTCCTATGTTAAATGAGAGCCGAGTTAATGAGATAGCCACCTGTCGCAGTGACCTCGATGGCTCGCTGTGTGGTCTAATCCCTTCTTGCCCAGTAGTGGTGACGGTCTTTAAAAACCCTGCATTTTTATGCAAGTTGCAATTCATGCTTCATTTGAAATATATAAGGATTGGATGAACATGAATCAAAACACTTTTTGTAATGACAAAAATTCTGAATAGGGAAAGCAACAACTTTGCATCTCGTTATGGCCTTTATGCACCACAAACTTGCCTTCACTCTTTACACTGTAATGTCTATAAAGTGTTACAATTAAAATTATGAAAGGAATCAGATCCAGGCCAATGTCTCATTGGAAACAGAGAAATAGCCTAGCCCTAGACAAGGCTAGACAACAAACAATTTGTAGTTTCCTACATCTGTCTTCCATCCATCTATTCTTGAAAGGAGTTTCAAATCTATATTTACCAGAACATTTGTGTCTGTACTGGCAGTTGCTATCCTGCATAATGAACGTTTCCCAGGTTGAAAGTCAGCACTGTAGACAGGATCGCGTCCATGCCATGAAATCTCAGGAGTCTCTACCTTCATCTGCATGTCCAAGAAATTTAGAAAAAATAACAAAGAAAAAAAGGTGGGAAATTTTAAGAATTATACAATAAAATTTCACTCTACTTCTCCTTCTCGTACTCTCCTTTTCTTCTCCATCTCATTTTGTTTTCTGTTTGTATTTCTTCTTAGTGAGCACTAATAATAAAATACACTCGACACCCCCCCCCCCCCCCTGCAAACAAAAAATAGTAAGCTGTAACACTAATAGGGTGTTTAAACGATTTTTCAATTTTCAATTTGGGATCGTTTTTCACCATTTTTGTTGGATATTGGAATAAAAATGTAATCAGAATAATACCTTTCAAATTTCAAGACTCACCGATGTTTCTATCAAAAGATACAGCCCCTCAAAAACTGTGCAATATTCATAGCATTTTGGTCAGAATGGACAGAAAAGTGGTTCACGCAGAGTTATAATTTCTGCTCAAAAGCTGCACAGCTACATGTAATGCACAGCACGATATGCAAAGCGTGGAGCAAGGGTATTTTCAAACTGTTGTGCCAAATGATCCCTTGGGACTAGAGAAAAAATAAGTGCATGGATGATATATTCTTTACAGCTGGCCCAACTTATTCCTCGGGGGAGCAGTTCGTGAAATTGGTAAATCTCCGAGTTACCATGGAAACGATGTTTAAATCGCTGTTTTGAGCAAGGTATTTTTAGAAGTCCGAGGGTGGCCCCCTAGGGCTAGGCTATGGGGAATATGGAGAAAAACCTGCTCTTTCATACTCATAGACCTACATGTACGACGCCACATTTAATATTGAGTTTCACCTTCAAGTTGAGGATCATTTGTTATAAAGTAAAGGTTTGAATTTCAAATTTTTCATAAAATCATTGACCAATTTTGCTTGGTCGCGCAATGCACGTAGACCACGTAGTAGGGATGCGTGCAATCTCTATGACTATGGGAAAGATTAGCACACAACATTGGGTGCGCGATCAGAGTTCAGACACCCGTAAAGTAAGGCATTTGTGGTTAGACCCCTACCATCTTTTTGTTTGCCGGGGGTAGCTAGGGGCACGGCCACCCCCCACCCCCATCCCCTGGAACTGCCACTGATTATTCATAGCCATATGAAAGGACTGCCTTTCGATAGTTGACTTTGTCTGTACTCTGTATAGACCTACACTTGGAGTTGGACTGCACTCCCGCCTGCACGTACCTGACCCGGCCTGTCATGCCAGGACTGTACCGGTACTGCACTGTACGTGTACTCTACTGGCCGAGGCCGAAAAAAACATCGAAACTATCACTCAGTCAAAGTCACTTAAAAATCATAGTTAGAATGTGTATTCAATTCCTACAAGTGTTTAAACATATACATTATTAACTAATACTTACTATTCATCACCCTCAAAACAGAAATCATACACATATAGTAAATACTTACCGTGTTTTGATCGAGGTAGTGGGTAAAAATGTTATTGAAAATTTCTCAAAAGTTCCCGCGAAATAAAATAATTATAACAAGAGAGGGCAGTAAAAGAATTGAGTAGTCTTAAATATTAGGCACATTAAGACATAAATGATCAAAAAAAAAATGCTTAGATATTCTCTTTTTCTGTCACAAATATATTATCAGGGGGAAATGAAGATAACATTCAAATGTATTTATATTATATATGACTGCGCTAAGTACAGGACTACAATAATATCAATGAAATGCTCAAGATTGTACAAAATTGCTTATGTGTCTAAATTTCTGAGACTATAATACACAGGCCTTCAAAGCACGCAACTTCCGGTAAATGAATGAATGAACTGTCGTACTAGAATTTTCCTCACAAAACTTTTCTTCCTGTGAAGATTACGGAAACATTTTGTACTTTTTCTCGATAAACCTTTAAAAAAAAACAAGCCTAATGTCTGCTGAAAACCCAGAGAAACTTCAGTGTTACAACAAGGGATGTGGAAGCGTTTATTCGCCCGAGGAAGACGGTCCAGGTGAGATTGAAAATAATCCTATAAATAAGCGAGTTGATGTGTTCGGTATTAACCGCGCCGTTCTGCCTGCCCTAGCGGGGTGGCGTGGTTATGAGTTGTGGTATGATGCTGTGGGCTTTACTGTACTGCCACAGTGCCAGGCGCAGCTCAGGCCGTCTGGCTATGACTTTTTAGTGAGTCATTACTTGACGGGCATGCATTTAATTAGACCGAATTTTCCGTCTCTTTTGTTCGTTAAGCCTCTTATTTGGGTAGGGTCGGCTCTCTCTTTAGAGACGGAAACCGTTTAGCCCTACCCTAGATCTAGAGTCCTATACGAATTCCCTTGCTAACGCCATGCCCATTTATGGCCATATTTTTATGTCCCGAAAATCCCCCAAAATGTCATTTTACCTTGTGCATATTATATTGTAAATTAGGCCTAGGCTATAATAAATGGGTTCCACTTACCAACTTGACTGAAATAATGTGTTTAATGGTCCCTTTTTAGGAAATTATGGGTCAAAATCGAAGTCCATGTTGAAAATCTTGTAAGACTAAGAGACGTATTTTAACTCTCGCTGCGCATGACGTCATCTAAATCTCATCTATTCTAGTCTACGCCGAAGGCAGAATGATTATGAAGAAAAACTGTGATAACGCCATCAACGCTCAAAATACACGGGGGCGGTGGGCGATTCGCCCCCGTGAGCTCCATAATCGCCCCCGTCAGGTTGCTCACGGGGGCGATTCCAAAATTTAAAATCGCCCCCGTGTAATTATGGAATAAAGATTATCTTTTCTGATATAACTTTAACACAATATTGAGTGTCAATTTTCAACCTTCAACCAATGAAATGGAACTTAGATGGCGCTATCTCTCCCATCTCTATGAGTATTACCGATACAAAAAACGGAAGCTTGCACTATTATTGTGCGGCCGTCAGCAGGGGCTATACTGCGCCGGTAGTACAGGTTTGCACGCTGACGCCCAATATCTGCTGGAGCTGGAGACGATCACGCAAAGACTGAAATATGCAGAAGTTTTTCGTTGTGAAAAGTGTGAATCCTCTGAAATCTGGTGCTTCTAAAAGACCAGCAAATTATGTACCTCGACCAGTAAATCAATATCGAGAAGAAAACAAGACCAAAAATGTTGCAGGGGCGGATCTAGGCGGTTTAGGGGGTTTAACCCTCCTACCCCCTCCCCCTTGGGTTGCCAAGTGAAAATGTGATGTGCATAGAAAAATGCCATCATGTGTCCAGACCTACACAGTATAGATGGCAGTAGATGCCAGGAAAGCATTACTTACGGGGGGTTCAAAATAGCACCAAAAAAAGGCTCCGCACGTTAGTAGATGCCAGGAAAATATCATTTACGGGGGTTCAAAATAGCACCAAAAAATCGCCTCACGGCTCGTGGACGATGCTCCGCATGTTAGTAGATGTCAAGAAAACATCACTGTCTTACGGGGGTTAAAAATAGCAAGAATAAAAATCGCCTCGCCGCTACGCGGTTCGTGGACGATAAATGATAATAATAAAAAACAAGGAATTTAGGAGTTTCATGGGTACCAATTCAATGGAAATTTGTATTAAAAGAAGAGCCCCCGTCAGCACTAAAAGAGCCCCCGTGAGAAGGCTCACGGGGGCTCTTTTTTTTGGGGGGGGGGGGAAGAGCCCCCGTGGACAAAAATTAATTTGAGCCCTGAACGCCATTACGAACGTGTAGCTCGCGCACAGTTTTTCCTTCATAATCATTTTGCCTTTGGCGTAGACTAGAAGTAGGGAGGCCAATGCCCAAATCTAACTTTTTAATTACTGATTTGTTTATAATAAAACAAACATTAAAAGAAAGCATTTTCTTTCACTAAGAAAACTCACCCATCTGCTGGCTCCAGAAGTTCCATAAAATAGGAGATATCCAGCTAGTTCCTATGAGCTTCCTTCTACGCCTGGCCGTACGTAAGAGCCTTGAAACAATCAATTTCATGGTCCCAAAAATTACGTCGAGAATTAGACAGGCCCGAGGGAATGGGCGTGTCATCATGGTCATTGCCCGGACAACAAGTTCAAAACTTCGCGCGAAAGTACATTCATCATCATCGGCTAGCCTTGAATTAGTCGCACACACCGACACAGTACTGCAGGCCGTCCAGGTACGGTAATTGCATGCAAGCCGCAATCGAGCCATGCTAGCCATGCCATGCACGGCATGGAGGGTCAAAAGAGAAAGCTCGAAAACCACTCATTGTAAATTAAGAAAATTATTGAAATAAATAAATAGGCCTACCTTAGTTTTGATATGTATTCCAATTATTTCCTCATGAGTAAAGATCAATCTGACACTGCAAAATCCAACAGTTGCAGCGAACACAATACGATCGATAAATCCAACAGTTGCAGCGAACACAATACAGAATCAAACATAGTCAATAGGACTGCACGCATTGATAGACGTGTACTGACCGAGATATTTCTCTCCCTCTCTCTCTCTCTCTCTCTCTCTCTCTCTCACTAACCATATGATGATATCATACACTAAAACACACACGTTCAAATCATGGCATTCATTACACTTCTCAATTGGAGTATAGACTGCTCACGTAGACTTTTTTTTTTTACTGAAATGTCTTTTTTTACACTTCTCATACATTACTGCACGACACTGACCTAGTGCTGAGAATAAGGTACTATGTGTGAGACTACGTCAAATTTTTTTTGCGCGCGATGAGACCGGAGCTCATACATATTCATATAATGATGTCGCAAGACTTCAATTTGGGGCTCGAACAATCATGTCTCTGTTCACAGTTTTCCACCCCAATTTGAGATGGCTCTAGCTATGGGGCTCAAACCAACGCAAGATTGACAAAAACATCGTACTCTATCTACCTTCGTATGTGCAGTTTGTAAAAATCTGCAATTAAAAAGATATGATCGTTTTTCGTTATATTTTCTAGTTGTTAAAAGTGACATTTGTGCACAACTGATATGTTAATCTCTATCAAAAGTTCTTTGATATTAAATTGGTTCCATATTTTTAGGCTCTACCTTCAGTCATTGAGAAGGATTTTAGTGAGCTAACCTCATCGCCCTCTAGGACCCTTCTAGTTTCTCTTGTGCGTCCGTTATTTTCGTCTGCTAGCGCAATTATTGGATCAAAATACGTCAAAATCTGCAAGATCGTCAACAAAGGGTGAAAGACTGTTACAGATCCGTGATTATAGGTATGTTGTGGAGTGTGTAATTGTGTATTTGTTATACATTTTATTCCATAGATATTTGTTTTCTTTTTTTTCCCCTTTTTTTTTCTTCTGGTAATTTTCTGACTTGGACGACGAGCGCACAAATCGTAGGCGTAGAAGCCTTACGCCCGGGCATTGGCCTCCCTACTAGAAGAGATGAGATTTACATATAGAGTAGTGGCTCTGGTCTGCGGCCGATCGGCGGGAACTGCCGATTCTATTTTTATTGGAATACTCACAGAATACTTCAATACCCTCAATAAAGAGTCCATATACTTACTTATTAAATAGAAGTCACAAATAACCTAACTGACCCACAGCGTGGTCAGCATTGACCACGTTTCGAAATGCTTCGAGTTCCCCGGTTTGCGGGCACGCATTACCGGTTTGCGGCACGCGTACGTCACAAAGCTTTATGCGCTACGTCACGATGAAAGCATGTACCAAATTACTACGGGTAACCCAAATTCTCATGTTTATCTGTTGCTACGGTAAATTTGTCAAGTTTTAAACAATTTCACCTTTTCCTCGAATGGATCATCCCATCCGGGGGTAAGTACTACTAGAAACTATCGGGTCATAGCGGGTACACACATCAGCACACATACCATCATACACGATCCCGCATGTTATGTGTGTATTAACACCCCCCGCCGCAAACCAGAAAAAACACGTAATTACGTGCCGGTTTGCGGCCACCCCATGCAACTGGCCATGCGGTGGCACAATCAAAATATCTGCGATAGGAGACAGACCACAGCCATCATACTTCCACAAAAACATCAAATTTCACCTCCAATCGGACAAATATCGGACAAATAGAGCTACAATATTGATCTAGTCATGCCTCGATCTCTTAACTTAAAAGTTAGCACCTGCTGGAATTTTCATCGGCGACTGGTGCCGTAGATTTCCGACATCGCTGACGGATACTCCGTACCGACAGGAGCACCTGCTACGGACGTTTTCGGCAAAGCAGAACTTACCGTGGAATCCACGGTAGGTTTCAATGATTATTATCGAGTCATATTCATTTTATTTTTAAAACAAATACCCCTGGCCGCAAACCGGGCGATGCCGCAAACCGGAGACTCTACTCTAGATGACGTCATGCGCAGCGAGAGTTAAAATACGTCTAGCAAGATTTTTAACATGGATTTCGATTTTGACCCATAATTTCCTTAAAAGGGACCATTAAACAGATTATTTCAGTCAAGTTGGTGAGTGGAACCCATTTATTATAGCCTAGGCCTAATTTACAATATAATATGCACGAGGTAAAATGACATTTTGGGGGATTTTCGGGACATAAAAATATGGCCATAAACAGCCATGGCGTTAGCAAGGGAATGCGTATAAACGGTTTACGTCTCTAAAGAGAGAGCCGACCCTACCCAAATAAGAGGCTTAACGAACGAAAGAGACGAAAGAGGTGTGTGTGTGTGTGCAGAGGTGTGTGTGTGTGTGCATATGGGGATGTGTTGTTGTGTTGGCAGCTGCCAAAAAATCCACTTAATCTACCAACAAAATACCACTTTTTGTATTCATGGATGCCAGCTATAGGTGTACTTACATCTAACAGCTCCCTGGATGTGATATTCTTGGATTTTGTGTGGAAATAAACCTGAATTTGGGGAAATTGATCTTCATTGTTCATCTGGAGCTTTGTGTATATTCTCAGGGCAGTCCCACTCATAGCACTTCATGGTGGATCTCCATGAATTTTGTTTTAACTTGCACCAGGGTCTACTTTGGATTTCCTTCAAAGTTCAA